AAAAACCTTTGAAAGAACTCTTTAGATGAAAGATTAATTAAGGATAAACGGTTAACATACCTTAACACAATATAAGCCACGAAATTTTTAAGAATAAAGCACTTGGAATACATCCTCATAGCTTGTTCTTGCGCTTGGTCTCTAATAGAGGTATTGGGAGTTTCATATTTTGGTGGGAAGGGTTTGATTTGAAAAATGAATTCTTAGTTGAGTTTTCATGTTTTTATCCTACTTAAAATAACTTAATTAACCTAAAATAACCGTACACAGTTTAATTGGACCATCTCAATTCACCCCTATCTCGGTTGTGTCTAGACAGTAATATTGCAAGTCCAAACGACATTCCTAATAATGGACCGTTGATGGAATGACGGGACCTTCTTGCACTCCGTATTTTATGATTGAGACACAATTATTTGGGGGATGAGCTCCCACGCCTAAGTGTGGATCAACACCCCAAATCAATAGGGCGTTGATCAATCAACTAAGTATTGTTTGCTAGGCGTCGTTTGACACTGCGTAGGCAGTGTTTTGCCAACTTTTGAATCCTCATAAAGGACCCTTAGGGTGGTCCTTGGGGAGTCATACCCGGAATTTTCTACCCTAAACATGACCATATACATGTTAGGATACTCCCCTATAATCTTAGACTCAAAACATTACCTCTTAAACAAAAGGCAAACAGACGAAGGCACACTAGCATACAAATGACTAATCTCCAAACGTCTTGGTCATTCCTTTACATTTGACTTCCAAACCTCTTAAAATCAACTACACAACATGTGACACACTTTTTTTACATACTATTAACTCTTTAAGGTACATTTGAGGCTCTAGATACCTTGGTTTGTTTTGAGGGTCTTTGTAGACCTTGTCAGCCCGCTCACCATCTACCGCATTGTATTGGGCCAGCAAAATTTTCACCGCCTCTCTCTTCTTGGAACTCCTCTAAATATCACCTCCCCAAACAATGTCCTAAATGTAATCAAATTTCACAGTATTAAGGATCCAATCTAGACCAGCGGTGGGGTCATACAGAAATCGGTGGATAGTGGCTTGAGAGATGTTGACTCGACAACCTCGCACCAATGTATAAGTGAGAAGGTCCATTTTGGGGTGTTATAACTGCTTGTCGATGGGCCCTCAGAGAGTGGCAGCATAGGAAGCATAGAATTCTCGCACAATCTCCTCTCTATATGTACCCAAGTACTGAGTCATCCAGATACACTTGTACAGGTCAATGCACCTTTGGCACTGTATGTAGGCTCCCTGTGAGGACTCATCATTCCTCAGCGATTAGTCGGGACATCACCCTCTATTCGTTTATCATCTTGGCATCCTTATAGATTTACCATGGTCTGTCAACACACCACCTTTTTAGTTCATTTGCTACCGACCGGGGTGGGGTTATCTGTTCAGTGTGTAGGTGCAACTCCTGAGCTAGTGGCCTCATCAAATGACGTATGTTGTTCTTGTCCCCCTAATCCGATAGCACCCTATGAGTTGGAGCGGAAATAATGGCCGACTTGGACCCTGAAGACTGGGCACACCCTGATCCTAAAGTTGTGGAGAACTCGAAGACAGATGTTGACCCCCCTTCAAAAGTGGAAGCAGCCCTGGTTGGTGAATCTATCAGTGTACCCTCCTCATCAGATTGGGAGGCAGCGACTACGTCAGGGTTCACCTTCCGCAGTTCCCCTAGTGACTCGGGATGTTGTGGTTGATGGTCTTGTGCCCGGAGGAACATAGGTTGGGTCCCTTTCTGAGTCAGTGTCTTCATTGATTAACAAATAGGATAGGGCGACAGATTTAGATTTTCCTTACTTTGAGTAGACCACTTGTTTTTTGGGTGCAATGGTACCTGTGGATAATTGGTTATTGCCACAATAGCTTGAGGACACATAAGACAACAAAATAAAAAAATCACAGGCTGCAATTTCGGTTGACAGGCCCCATCTACTGTCTGTAGATTGATCAATCTGTGAAACCGTTCCATCAATTGGGTGGGTTAAAACATACTCTCTGATAGAAATGACGGATGTATAGAATGGCCCGTCGCCAATTGATGGACAGTAGTCCACATTCATTGTTTGACACTTGTGCTTATTTTGGGCATGTACAGATCCAATCAATGGTCCGTCAATTGAACGACGATCCGTAGACAGTGTCTCGTGGCTGAGGCTTGTGCAAGATTTAAAGCCTCCTTCAATTCAACTTCCGAGTTTCTTTAGTGACTAATTTTATGAGAAATCAATTCTATGCATGCTTTTCAACATAACATATGCTAGTTCGTCGTTCCTAGGGTTCCAATATCGGACAATTTCCAATCCCTCATTTGTCTAAAGAACGAAACTTTAGGTCGGAACTAACGTATTGACTTAGACACATATAATTAGGGTTGTTAAGATGTTACACAAACACTGTCCATCATACCTAGCGTAGTTATTACTTAACTATTAAAATGCAATGTTAGTTAATTTAGTCCAAAGGTTAAGATCCCACCCCGACTTCGTATTATCAACTATGAACGCAAATTCAGATTGAGGGAAGTCAAATTACCTTTTAAGCGATGAAGAGTGGTGTGATTGTCTCTCTACAATGATGTGCGACACAAAGAAAAAGCCAATGCTCGCCGAACCCGATCATCGAACTTAGTTGGAATGAATGGAAAAAGAATTGTGGGGAGAGATGGTTGGAATTTGGGGAAAGTGAGAAGGAAGATGATTCTGGGAAATATGTTAATGATTTAGGGAGTGATTTTGGGAGGAAATTAATGGGGGGAGGTTATGATAAGAAGGTTGGAAGAAAATGGAAACGGGGGATGAATTTGAAAGGTGTGTTTTAAATATAGGCAGTTGGGTCGGTTCACTGGTTGACTGGATCCACGAGACCCCATTGGCGGTCCGTTGATCGATTGAAAGTCTGTCAATTAGGACCGTCGATCACTCTTATACTTAGAAATGTTTGGAACCTTACATGGGATCTACAAACACCATTCACCGTCCATCATTTGAACGATGGACCGTAGATGGGTCCGTAGACCTCTGCACCACACTATTTTCAGCATATTCCATTTTGGCCACCTGCACACACAACAACAATTATACCATTCTTTTTGTGTTTTTTAGACACTTAAACTATCCTAATCTCTAGCCAACACTATCACACAAAGACAAAGAAAATTAAAAACCTAGAGAAGCTAAATAAAAACAAAAACTCTTTCTTCACGGCAAACAAAACCTATCGTTGGCTAGAGTGTACACTTTGGGTTGTCTCCCAAGGAACACTTGGTTTAAGGATGCGGCACACGCATTCCCCTTGAGTAATCAGAATTCATCACGATTGTAGGCCTCAACCACTTCATGAACACTTTTCGCATGCCCCAGATAGAACTTAATCCTTTGTCCATTGACTGTGAACCTTGTGTCTTCCTTGTTCTCCTGCTCAACCGCTCGATGTGGAAACACTTTGGTAATGAGGAATGCCCTGTCCATTTGTACTTGAGTTTACCCAGAAACAAGTGCAGCCTAGAGTCGAATAGAAGCACAACATCACCAACCGCAAATTCTCGCTTTTCAATTCTTTGGTCATGATACCTCTTCATATTATCTTTGTAGATGGATGAACATTCATAGGCTTTTAGGCAAAACTCATCAAGCACATTCAACTCATTTAGCCTCTATTTTGACGCTCCTATCCAATACAAGTTCAATATCTTCATTGCCCACATCGCCTTATGCTCTAAAGTGACAAGCCTTCCCAAATACAAATTAGTATGGAGACATACCAATAGAAATCTTGTATGCAGTGTGGTAGGCCCAAAGAGTATCATCAAGATTCCTCGACCAATAGATTTTATTGGCATTTACAATTTTTGCCGAAATCTGTTAAATCTCACGATTGGACACTTTAACTTGCCCGCTAGTCTGTGGGTGGTAGGGAGTAGCCACATTATGGTGCACAACATATTTTTCCAGCAACATTTTGAACAACTTATTACAAAAGTGAGAACTCCTGTCACTTATAATGGACCTAGGTATACTGAATCTGGAGAAGATATTCTTGTTCAGGAATACAGGGACACTATTCCCTTCTTTATTGGGGAGCGCCATTGCTTCAACCCATTTTGACACATAGTCTACCACCACAAGAATATACTTCATCCCATGAAAACTCACAAATCGGCCCATGAAGTTAATGCCCTATACATCAAATTATTCAATCACCTAAAATTGGATTCATGGGAAGTTATTGCCTCATTGAAATCCTACCATCTTGTTGGCAATGATCACATGATTTGGAAAAATCATGAGAATCATGATGATGGTGGGACAATATTACCCATACTACAAGATCTTATGCGCAGTTTGAATACCACTATGGTGACCACCAAAAGGAAATGAATGACACACCTTAAGAACACTCAACATTTCAACCTCAGGCACACAGTGACCAATAATTCAGTCGGCACAACTCCAATATAAGTAAGGCGAACCAAAAGAACTTTTTCATATCACGCAGTAACTTCTTCCTTTAGTTGAAACTCAAATCTGACGCGACCAAACCGCTTGCCAAATAGTTTGCAAGGTCTGCAAACCATGGGATCAGATCTTGTGAAGCAGACAATACATGCTCATCTTGAAATGCATCATCAATTTCAACCTCTTCCCCCAATTCACACATAGCTTCATCCTCCAATCTAGACAAGTGGTCGGCCACTTGATTTTCGGTCCCCTTTCTATCCTTCACCTCACAATCAAGATCTTGAAGCAATGATATCCAGCTGATCAACCTTGTCTTCGCATCCTCTTTCACCATCAAAAAACTCAATGCAGAATGGTTGGTATGCACTATGACCCTCGTGCCAAGAAAATTGGATCAAAATTTCTCGAATGAAAACACCACTGCTAGAAATTCCTATTCAGTTACAGTGTAGTTTTTTTGGACTTCATTTAGGGCTTTACTCGCATAACAAATAGAGTGAATGATTTTATCTATTCTCAATCACAATACCACACCAAGTGCCACCCGCTCGCATCACACATCACCTCAAATGGCTCACCCCAATTTGGTGAAATAACGATGGGAGCAGAAACTAACTTCTCTTTCAACTCTCCAAATGCATACACACAGGATTTATTGAAATAGAACTTACAGTCCTTCTCTAGAAGTTTACACAAAGGGTGTGCAATTTCTGAAAAATCCTTGACAAACCTCCGATAAAAACCAGCACACCCAAGGAAACTTCTCACCCTCTTGATAGATATGGGTGGTGGAAGCTTCTCTATCACCTCGACTTTGGCCCAATCAACCTCTATCCCCTTTTCTATGATTTGATTTCCCAACACTATACCTACTTTCACCATAAAGTGGAATTTCTCCTAATGTAGCATCAAATTGCAATATTCACATCTTGATCACCTCGGGCAGATTATTTAAACACCGATCAAAGGATTCGCCAACCACATAAATAATCCATGAACACTTCAATACTGTCCTCCACCACATCAGAAAATATCATATTGGAAGGTCGTCGATGCATTACACAACCCAAATGGCATCCTTTTAAATGCAAAAGTCCCATAAGTACAAGTGAAGGTAGTCTTTTCTTGGTCTTCCGAGACCATTAAGAAGACAATACCAACCCGTGCCTTCAAGTCTGTCTAATATCTGGTCCATGAAGGGCATGGGAAAATGGTCATTTTCTATTCACGCATTCAACATCGAGGAGTCCATGCAAACTCTCCATACGGTTACGGGCCGCATCGAGACAAGCTCGTTCCTTTCATTAGGTACCATGTTCATCCTACCCTTTTTAGGCACGCACTGAATAGGGCACACCCAACTGCAATCCGCAATAGGATAAATGACCTCAGCATCCAACCATTTGATGATCTCTTTTTTAACTACTTCTTGTATAGATGGATTCAACCTTCTTTGGTGCTCAATACTCGATTTGTGATCTAGCAGTAGTTGGATTTTGTGGGAACAAATACCGGGTTGGATCCTAATAATATCTGCAATAGTCCATGCAATAGATCACTTAAACCTCTTTAACACCATCACTAAGTGCTTTACTTGTTGCCCATTTAGATTTGCTGCAATAATCACCGGTGAAGTGTCATCTTTACCCAGAAACACATACATCAAATGCATTAGTAGAGCCTTAATCTCTAATTTTGGTGCCTCCACAATAGATGGTCTCGCAGATGGAGACTCACGATGCTTCATGCCTAACTCTAACTTTGTTGGCTTTAACCGATATTCGTTTCGTTCAAATGTGGCCACCAAAAAACCATACTCTTCAATACCATCACCGTCAAAATTCTTGATAATACTTGTTAGTGCCTCAACACCTAATCGCTCGTCAACCTGCACTTCTGAGACACTCTCAACTACATAGGTGATTGTAGATACTATTTGGATCTCACTACTCTCCTTCATGGACCTACAAATATTGAAAGTTGCTTCTTTATTACTCAACCTAAACTTCATCTGCTCTTTTTCCATATCGACTAATGCATGCCAGTTGGAAGGAATGGTCTCCCTAGGATAATGGAAACCTCAAAATCAACCTCACAATCAAGAATCACAAAGTCAGTTAGAAAGATGAATGACTTCACTTTCACAAGCACATCATGGAGTACACCTATGGGACTCTTCACAGTTAGATCAGCCATCAGTAACTGCATCGTGGTAGGCTTTGGGTCCCCCAAGCCTAAATTTTAATTAACGAACAGTAGCATGAGATGTATGCTCACACCAAGATCACACAGTGCCTTCATAAAGTGTAGTAACCCTATAGTGCATGGAATAATGAAGGCACTCAGATCCTCTTTCTTCTATACAAGAGACCTTGTAGAAATCTCACTACAATAATGCATTCTGTCATCATCATCTAAACTAACTGACCTCTTCTTCGTCACCATATCCTTCATAAACTTATCATAGTAAACCCAAAAATTGCACTTGAATTTCAAACCAAAAGCTTCAAAAACAAATCCGAAAAATCAATTATTTGTCAAAGTTGCAAAAACTAATCTCCCAAAACATAAACTAGAACAAAGGTAGTAGTATCTAAGCCCAAAAATGAGGTTTTATGCCTTACTTATAAAAAACATAATCCTAATTAAAAAAGAATTCAAAGAAATATTTCAATCTCCATAGTGCACCTTCTTTTAATAAAAAGACAGACCAATAGCATTGTCCATCATTCCATCTACAGTCCGTCATGCTCCTCGGTGACTCCACACTTAGAATCTTCAAATATGAGGTACTGGAACCAGTACGTTCCGTTGATCGATATTAATTGTGGTCACACACTTGGTCAAAATTTCCTAATTTCTTCAAATGCTTGGGCTACTCATCTACGATCATCATCTATTGGGCGTTGATCAAACAGCGGGTCGTCGATTGCCTCCACAGGTCCTTTTTATGCACTTTGTCAATTGTCTCTATTGTTTTATTCCTTAACATCTTTCTTACAGAAAAAGACACAAAACTTGTTAAAACCAATATAAAAAGGCTTTAGACACACACAACTCTTAAGTGAAATGCATTAAAAATACCGTGAACTTACGGTACATCAGAAAGTCAACCTATTTCATTAGCGGAGGAGCTTCCATATCATGAGTTTACTATAGATGACCCATCCTATTGCACTAGCAGAGGGACATTTTCCTCATTTTCCGTATTCACTCAATACAAAGCATTTCTTCATAATTATACATAATTAGAATGGGAGGAATTGTACCTACATGTCTGAAGGCATACTTTACCCTTCATTCAATACAACTCACTAAATATCTCATAGATTCATTAAGTGAGAACTACCTTTCACCTTAGAATCGTCATTTTAAGGTGGGTATCTTTCACCTTATTATTCATAGTGTTTTCATGAGAAAGTAGCCATTCAATCAACACAACAACATCAACATTACCTAGACAATTCATACATAAACATGAGTAAGGATATAAAAAATTAGCTTTCGAACAACACCTCGATTCTCATAATAGTCATAGGATTTCTCACTTTTTAATGAGTTCACAAGTTCATCAATAACTATCAACAACCATAAACAATCCTTCACACTTTACCCCTTACAAGGTCATGAATCAAGTCTCACACTCACATTTTAGATATACTATCATCACCATGAATAAGAACGGTTTCATAACCAATTTGACCTAACCACAATACACAATTGTAATCACATTGCATCAATAACTTCCTTAAAATTCATGAAATCGTGGTCATGGGGTAGTTCATGGGTTCATGGGTAGTTTTACTATAAATCACCAATTAAACTTCACACCATTCATAATATACATCAAACACGTTTTTAGAAAGAACACATGGATAGAATGAAAATCCTAATTTTGAATCTTAAACCTGTTTCTGAAAATTAGAGTATAAGGGCTTCATGGAGGAAATTATCCATGAATCGAGGTTCCCATACCTTTAGTTCAAGCTTTCCCATGAAATTGGAGTCAAAACTTCAAGCTTTAACCCTAATCTTCAAGTTGTTGTTGTTCTTCAATGGAGGAACTTTAGAGAGAGAAATATTGGTGAAGAGAGGTTTTGAATTTTAGAAGAAGGTGTTTGGCATGCCCCAAGCCTACACCCTGGACATGGACAGCAGTGGAAGACCATTGTTGGCCCCAAGCGAACCCTTGTCCTGGATTTCTTAACTCAGTGGAAGACTTAAACGTAACAGAATAAGTTTAAAGTATTAAGTTAGCCAAAACGGCAAGCTAAGTATTAAATGTATACAACTGAAATGAATAAGACAAAAGTTGTCTATGAATCCTCTAAAGTAAAGATGGATGTTGGGACAGGACCCCCAATCATCCTAACAACTGAAAGTTGAAAGAAAAATAATTGAATGTTAAAGATGTCCTCCGTAATGAAGAGAGGCTCACCAACTGACTCTGAGCTGCTCACTGGATCAACGGTGCGCCAAATGTCGATCCTAGTTACATGCGTCTGCATCATGAAATGATGCAGTCCAATTGGCATCAATACATTAAACATACGAGTATGCGAGTTGGATTGCAATAACAACAACTTAAGCTTGAAAAAGAGTAAGAAGGAACACTTAATTGGCTCTGCTCAACTCATAAATAACATAACTCAATATAACTAACTCATTTCATTATATAGCTATTTAAAGACATGTGCACTATAAAGAACAGTTTTTTAAAACATGAATTGTGTGTATGCAAAGATACCATTAACTCTGAGATATATGTAAAATTGAAATAAATTGATGTTAACTCATAATCTTAATAAAACACATATCATGCTTCCTCTCAAACTCTACTTGTGCGATACATGAATAAAGTCTCATACACCCATTCATACTAAGAAGAACCTCTTGACGAACCATGCAACTAATGATTTGGGAGTTTCTCTAACCGACAACCATCACTTAATAGATATAGTGATGATATAGCGTTACTCAGCCCACGTTGCCCGACCATCCTAACGTTGCCAGAGTATAGGACCTGAACTGCCAAATGGATCCACTAGTCTATTGTGAAAAGGATTCATCTAAAAGTATGACCCTATTCTACCAATTATGGCTACATGATTTTCATGGAGACTTGATTTAATATGAAACTCTCATCCTCACATCGGTGCTAATACTAGTCCCAAAAATATACTTATCTTATATGTTATGAAAACAACTTTTCATGTGATTTGAGATTAGTGCTCAAATACTTAGCTCAAAGCTATCTTGGAAATCTTAGTATCCTTGCTTTCTTCATTTTATAAAGCTATAACTCTTTTTTGAAAACTAGCCTGAATGATCTTTGAAAAACATAGTTTCCAATCTTGATCAAATATGAAAAACATTTCTTTTAAACTTCTTTGTCTTTTAAGGAAGAACTTCAACTCTTTACTCTTTTCTTAGATTGAAACTTAAGTATTAAATCAACTCTTAGGGAATACTTAGTTCCCTTGTAATTCTTTGAAGAAAGAACTTCAACTCTTTACTCTATACTTAACTTGAAAGTTTAGTCTTGAATCCATTTTTGGGGAATACTTAGTTCCCTTATAATTCTTTGAAAAATTAACTTCAACTCTTTACTTAACTTGAAACTTGATTCTTAAAACAAAGTTAAAATGTTTATTAAAGACTCTTGAAACTTTAAGAATCTTTGCTTTGACTTAACTCTTAACTTATTTGACTTTAATATTAACTTTCCTTGAATTGGATTATGAATTAAAGATTCATGATCTCTTGTCTATGGATTATTTCATGATGTTTAGATGTACCTTATAGTGTTGGAATCAACTAAGAAATATGGGTACATCACTTAGAAACTAGTATAAAAGAGTAGGGAATGAATGGGGTAGGGGTGGGCATTCACTATTTTGCTTCGATTTCGGTTTTTTTGATTTTTGGTTCTTGTAAAATTGTACCGAATACCGAACAGAAATATTTCCGTTCGGTTCGATTTTTATGGTCACGAACCAAAAAGAAAAAAGATTCATGATGGCACCTATGTTCCCAACCAATAGGTAAGCCAACCCAACATATTAACCAAACGCAACCAACAAATGGGTAAAACAAAAAAAAAGGGCAAAAAAAAATTGGCAAGAATCTCCAACATTGAGATCCTTAAAGTACGAAATGCGAAAACTAGAAAAATATATCCTCCAAGAATTGGTGTCTTAAGTACAAGAGCTTCTAAAATCCGATGCAAGTCTGAAACTAAATGACAAATCTAACATAAGAGATATCTTGTCTGAATACTAATAACATAATAAATAAAAAATTGAGGGAGGTGTGGGCCACGAAATAGCCAAGCAGCTCACCACAACTCCAAGAACTTCAAGCTCGGATTCAATTTGCCCCACCAGATGTCCTCCTACTCGGAATTGAATCTGCACCACAAAGAGTGCAACAAGTGTAGTATAAGTACGAAACCACATGTACCCAGTATGTCTCATTGACCGACAACGAAGAAGTAGTGACGGGAGTTTATATAAAATAAATAAATTCTTAAATTATATAAGTATATATATATATATATATTACACTCACTATTTAAGTTTCATCAATAAAGGTAATCAAACATCAAGTACTTTCCAAACACCAAAAAAACACATAATCATCAAAAATGAATGATGTGATGAAATGCAATGCAATATGATACCATGTAATGAATTATTTCAAAAATACCCAGTACTCACTCAACCGTATATACATGATACTCCTCGGAAATACATCTAGAGCTCATGACCCATGGGGGACTCCCGAGATCCATATACTGACATGGACGATCTCCACGTATCTGTGCAGAAGATCTCAACGCACTATCATAATATCAAGCAATTTTCGCATGGACGGTCTCGACGTGCCCAAATTACAATCTTAACATCTCACCATCCCCAGCACGAACGATCTCCACGTGCCCAACTTATACTCAATCTCATGTCAATGCATGAACTCAATATTATTTCAATAAAGGCGATGATGGTGCACCTGAATCAGTCAAATATCGACATACTACATAACCACCTCGATTTTCACAACTATACTGGTGTAATAAAGAAAACGCAATCACACAAGGATTTCAAGTCAATAATATATCACCTAATGCCCATATGCTTGGCATTCTCAAATTACAATCCACATTCTATAGTAGTAATTTTCTGTTTTATAACACCGGTACTCGAACCAATGTCCGTCACACCATTGATACGAGACCCCAATCTTTCGCCCTTACCCCTTTGTCTATTTAATTTTTTTTAATCTTTAATTATGAAAACGTCCTTCAACAAGTCTAAAAGTCTTAACATACCTTAAGAGCCGAACCTCGTGCCACGAATCTTCAAGACTGTTCCTTCCCTTTTCGCAAAGTTTTGGAACGTAGACATTCAAATTATTATATGTTTATTATAGACGCTAAAACTCACTCATTTTTCTAGCCAAACTCCAAATCTTGATATATATTGGTATGCCAAATTTTTCATGCTTGCTAAATTTCAAGCCAAGAACTTAAATTTAACATCTCAAAATACCCTTGAATTCAATGTTAAATCATATAATATACACCTACTAATTAATTACCTATCTCAATACATCAAAATTAGTATCTTTATTTGATAAATAAAATAAGAACTAATTGTCTACCCCTTGAAGGAACACCAGAATGTGACTTTTTTTTCTCAAACCTTTTCTGCAGTTCGTCAAGTTCCCAAATATGTTACCATATGCCAATCATTGGAATGTGATCGCCTGATGATTGACATTTAATTCTTGTCCCCACCATTTATTTTAGTAAAACATAACAATAAAAAGACAAAAGGAAAATTTTACTGCCCCAAATTGCAGAACCTGCAAATTTCCAATTTTATGCCCTGCAATAACTCTAAATTCTACGCCGTTACCACCTTGGAAATCATAAGCAATCATTAAGCAATCATTATAACAATCATTAGGAAATCATGATGCATCATTATCAATATTTTTTTCCTACTAAGAATCCCATCCGACAGTATTGCCAATATCGAATTTCCAATTCCTTAACAATGTTAATAATATAACAATATTTTTTTAACGCTTAGCAATTAGGCATGCAACACTTAAATATAATTTGCATCAACTCACCTGAAACTTTTGATCGAGTCGCCCGCTTCTTGCCTGTAAGTTCTTGAGCCCTTGTTTTCTTCTTTTCTAAACAATAGTTTATTAACCGTGAATCCCCACTAACCTATTATCTATATTACTTATTTAATAAAAGTTTCATCAACTAGGTACTTGTTGTTATCAATAGTTAAAATACCCCCTTTAAATTTTTCAGAAAGAGTCAAAATAGTCCTAGTTCTCAAAACGACCTAGCGGGTCATTACATTATTTTTTCGATTCAATTTTTTTATTTTGATTTTTTAATGGCCTGCTTAGTTGGATTTTTATAATTTTAAACTTAACAATTTTTTGTTTGATTTTTCAACTTAATGGGCTAAAAATAGACAGTAGTTGCATCAAAGAAGTGTATTGTAGTTACATCAGCTACACCCATATTAAATTGATTTTGTTCAGCAATCTATATAAAAAAAATTATTTCACAATAAATTCACACTAAGCAAAAATCAAATAGAAATAAATGAAAGAGCAAAGATTAAAAAAAAACCTGATTGGTGGTCGGCTGGCCCTCGATCGCTGGTCGCCGGTCACCGGTTGCTGGCCGTCTGAAGACTATGAACTCGTCGGCTCTTCCTCAAAAGTCAAATTCTAATCAAGTAACACTGAATTCCATTAAAACACATGATCACCACCCTGATGATACTTCTTAAGCATTTAAATATGAAATACAGGACGGACACCTGACAAACCAGGTGGCAAAGCCAACTGATACGCCACCTCACCAATACGCTCAACAATCTCGAAAGGACCAATATACCTTGGGCTCAACTTTCCCTTCTTTCCAAAACTCATCAAACCCTTCATGGGTGAAAACTTCAATAAAACCCTCTCTCCAACCATAAACTCTAAATCACGAATCTTTTGATCTGCATAACTCTTTTGCCTACTCTGAGCCATGAGAAGTCTATCTTAGATCAACTTGACCTTGTCCAAGGACTCCCTCAACAAATCTATACTCCATGGTCTAACCTCAAATGCATCAAACCAGCCAATTGGAGATCGACATCTCCTACCATACAGAGCCTCAAATGGTGCCATCTCAATGCTCGAATGATAACTGTTATTGTAAGAAAACTCCGCTAAAGGCAAGAACTGATCCCACTGAACACCAAAGTCAATCACACACGCCCGCAACATGTCTTCAAGAACCTGAATAGTTTGCTCAGACTGACCATCAATCTGAGGGTGAAAGGCTGTACTAAGATCCACCCGAGTGCCCAACTCTTTCTGCATAGAACGCCAGAAATGAGATGTAAATTAAGTGCCACGATCTGAAATAATAGATATAAGAACCCCATGCAACCGAACTATCTCCCAAATATAAATCTTGGCTAACCTTTCTAAGTTATAGGTAGTCTGAACTGGTACAAAGTGTGCACGCTTAGTCCATCGATCCACAATGACCCATATAGCATCGAACTTACCCAAGGTGCGTGGCAATCCTACCACAAAGTCCATAGCAATATGCTCCCACTTCCACTCAGGTATAGGCATCCTTTATGTCACACCTCCAAGCTTTTGGTGTTCATACTTCACTTGCTGACAATTTAAACAACGGGATACAAAATCTACTATGTCCCTCTTCATATGACACCACCAATAATGTTGTTTCAAGTCACGATACATCTTAGTAGCCCCGAATGAATTGAGTACCTCGAACTATGGGCCTCCTCCATGATTAATCTAGTCAAATCACCTGTACGAGGAACACAGATACGACCTTTAATCCTCAAAACTCCCTCAATATCAAGAATTGCATCCTTGGCTTCTCCTTTTAACACCTTGTCTCTAATCTTACATAAATCACCATCATCAAACTGTTGAGCCTGAATCTGTTCCAACAAAGATGATCTTGCCTCCATATAAGCCAACACCTTACGAGGTTCTAAAATATGAAGTCTCACAAAGCTATTGGCCAAGGATTGGACATCCCTAGCTAAATGACGCCCGTCGGCCTGTAACATGGCTAGACTACACATACTTACCGCCTTTCAACTAAAGCCATCTGCTACAACATCTGCCTTGCCTGGATGATAAATAATATTCATGTCGTAGTCCTTCAGCAATTCCAACCATCTCCACTGCCTCAAATTCAGATCTCTCTGATTAAATATATATTGGAGGCTACGATGATCCGTGAACACCTCACAATGCACACAAAAGATAATGCCTCCAAATTTTCAATGCAAACACAACAGCCGCCAACTCTAAATCATGAATAGGATATTTCTTCTCATGAACCTTCATTTGTCTCAAAGCATAAGCTATCACTTTTCCCTTCTGCATTAGTACACAACCAAGAATAATCCTAGAAGCATCACAATATACAACAAAGCCCTCTCCCTCCACGGGTAGGGTCAAAATCAGAGCAGTAGTTAATAAAGTCTTGAGCTTTTGGAAACTAACCTCACACTCGTCAGACCATTAAAAAGTCACCTCCTTCTGTGTCAATCTAGTTAATGGAGATGCAATGGATGATAAACCCTCAACAAATCATCAATAATAACCGGCAAGGCCTAAGAAACTCCGAATCTCAGTAACTGAAGCAGGTCTAACCCAATCTCTAACTGCCTTAATCTTCTTAGGATCTACTATAATACCCTCCTTGGACACTACATGTCCTAACAATGCTACCGAACTAAGCCAAAACTCACACTTTGAAAACTTTGCATAAAGCTTCTTCTCCTTTAGAATCCCAAGAACGATCCTCAAATGATGTTCATGTTCCTCCTTGGTTCATGAGTATATCAATATATCATCTATGAAGACAATAACAAAGGAATCCAAATACGTTCTGAAAACTCCATTCATCAAGTCCATAAAAGTTGCAGGGGCATTAGTCAATCCAAAAGACATCACCAAAAACTCGTAATGGCCATAACGTGTTTGAAAAGCTGTCTTAGGGATATCCTCCGCCTTAACCTTCGGCTGATGATAGCCAGATCTCAAATCAATCTTGGAGAAAACTGAAGCACCCTGCAACTGATCAAATAAGTCATCAATACGAGGTATCGGGTACTTATTTCTGATGGTCACCTTGTTCAACTACCTATAGTCAATACACATATGCATAGATCCACATTTCTTCTTCACAAATAACACTAGAGCACCCCAAGGAGATACACTCGGTCTAAAAAAACCTTTGCTCAACAAATCCTGCAACTGCTCCTTCAAGTTTTTCAATTCAGTCGGTGCCATACGATAAGAAGGAATGGAAATAGGTCGAGTACCTGGCTCCAGATCAATACAAAAATCAATATCACGGTCTGGTGGAAGACCTAGCAAATTGGTCAGAAATACTTCTGAAAATTCACTCACTACTGGAATAGACTCAAGCATAGGAGTCTCAATACTAGTATCTAGAATGTGGGCCAAGTAAGCCAAACATCCTCTCTGTACCAACTGACGAGCCTTAAGAAATGATATCACACCCTTAGAAGGGTGACTAAGAGAAGCTCTCCATTCTACTATAGGAATTCTAGGCATAACTAAAGTGATTGTCTTGGCATGACAATTTAAAATTGTGTGGTAAGAAGATCACCAATCCATATCGAGAATTACATCAAAATCTATCATATCTAAGACCTTTAAATCTGCGTGAGTGTCATACCCCATCAAGGTAATTGTACATAATCGATACACTCGATCTACAACTATAGAATCCCCGACAGGAGTAGAAACACGTATCGGCAAATCAAGAGACTCACATAATATATCTAGACTAGGAGAAAAATATGTGGACACATAAGAATAAGTAGAGCCTGGATCAAATAATACAGTAGATGATCGATGATAAATCGTGATAATACCTGTGATAACAGCATCTGAAGCCTCAGCCTCTAGTCTACCTGGTAAAGCATAACAGTGAGAACGACCTCCATTAGATTGTGAACCTCCACGACCACCACCTCGACCAGAAGGAGAACGACCTCTACTTGAATGAGGACCACCTCTACCATTTTGTGCACCACCCCTAGCTCGAGGTTGTGCAGCCCTGGAAGTCGAAGCCTGAGAACCCTGATGTAAGCCACCACGTCTGGTCCTAGGGCAGTCTCTCACAAAGTGTCCCATATCACCACACTCAAAATAGCCCCTACAAGACGCAGGCTGATGAGAGGACCCTGACTGACCAGAATTCCCTCCCCAAACCATAGTCCTAGAAGATGAACCCTGTGAAGTATACACTGAGCTCGAAGAACTATGCCTAGTGTAACCAGCCTTTGACGCAGGTATAGCAGCATGAATGAGTCTGCTGGACTGAGAGTGATAACCTCTCCTAGATAACCTCGACTCCTAGGCGGAGCACCTCCAAAATCACCTGAATAACGGGTCCTCTTGCCCTCACGCTGCTCAAATCCCTCACGTCGAATCATCTCCAATTCCTTAACAGCATCCACCACTTTCTGGAACGGATCACCAGAAGCAACAACTTGAGAAACTCCTAGACGAATCGGAATAATCAGCCCCTTAACAAACCTCCTCACTCTTTCAGCCTCTGTAGGAAGTATCATCAAAGCATGCCTAACCAAGGCATGAAATCTACCCTCATACTCTGCAACTAACATACCACCTTGCTGCAAACCCTCAAACTCGTCCCTCTTGTGCTCTCTCTCACTGCGTGGAACAAATTTTGATAAAAATACCTGAGTAAACTGAGTCCAGGACAGTGGAGGAGATCCAGTTGGCCTACTACTAATATAATCCCTCCACCACTGCTTGGCGGAGCCAGTCATCTGAAACACTGTGTGGTCAACTCCATGAGACTCCACTAATCCAAGATTTTTCAACCTCTCATGACAACTAACTATAAATTCATATGCAACTTCAGTTAAGTCACCAGTATAAGTAGGAGGATTCATTAGTCTGAACCTCCCAAACATCTTTTGCTCATCAATGGTCATAGAAGGTCTGTTCGCCAAATGTGATGCAATATCTGGAAACTCCATACTATCCAAACGAGGAGCTACAGCAGCAGCTGGCTGAGTCCTGGGAGTCTGAGAATCTGGAGAAACTATCGGATCTGGAGTCTGACCTCCGATACGGGTTTGTGATCCATCATAAGTGACAGGCAAAGCTCCTGCCTGAGCCATCCCTTCTAGGAGTCCTAACATACGAGCCAAGGTATGTTGAAGCACTGGGGTGACAATAGTACTGGGTGGAGCCTGAGTCGGCTCATCCCCATCGACACGATCTTGCACATCCCCATGAATATCCTCTGCAACAGAAGGTACGGTCCTATCACGACCATGGGTAACTATTGGTACTTGACCTTCCACAGGTAGTGCCGCAATACGGCCCCTACTCCGACCTTGAGCTCGTCTCATGCCTCTACCTCGGATAGTGTTCCAAGAAGCAGGCACAGGAATAGGATTCTGACTACCAGTTGCCGGTGTATGAGTTCTCGCCATTTGAGAGAATGAGATATCAAGATTAGAATTTCCTCAAGGTCAAGTGTGCACGATAGTGAATGAAAGAACAAAACATTTCCTATAGCCTCTCGAAGATAGGTATGGACGTCTTCATACCGATCCGCAAGACTCTACTAGACATTGCTCTTGTACTCATGAGACCGATAAACCTAGGGCTCTGATACCAAATTTTTCACGACCTAAAAATAAACACGAGTCGTGATGGCACCTATGTTCCCAACCAATATGTAAGCCAACCCAACATATTAACCAAACGCAACCAACAAATGGGTAAAACAAAAAAAAGGGCAAAAAAAAAATTGGCACGAATCTCCAACATTGAGTTCCTTAAAGTACGAAATGCGGAAACTAGAAAAATATATCCCCCAAGAATTGATGTCTTAAGTACAAGAGCTTCTAAAATCTAATGCAAGTCTGAAACTAAATAACAAATCTAACATAAGGGATATCATGTCTGAATACTAATAACAGAATAAATAAAATATAGAGGGAAGTGTGGGCCACAGAATAGCCAAGCAGCTCACCACAACTCCAAGAATTTCAAGCTCGGACTCAATTTGCTCCACAAGATGTGCTCCTACTTGGTATCGAATCTGCACCACAATGAGTGCAACAAGTGTAGTATGAGTACGAAACCACGTGTACCCAGTATGTCTCATTGACCGACAACGAAGAAGTAGTGACGGGAGTTTATATAAAATATATAAATTCTTAAATTATGTAAGTATATATATATTACACTCACTATTTAAGTTTCATCAATAAAGGTAATCAAACATCAAGTACTTTCCAAACACCAAAAAAACACATAATCATCAAAAATGAATGATGTGATGAAATGCAATGCAATATGAAATCATGTAATGAATTGTCTCAAAATACCCAGTACTCACTCAACCGTATATACATGATACTCCTCGGAAATACATCGAGAGCTCATGACCCATGGAGGACTCGCACGGTCCATATACCGACACGGACAATCTCCATGTGTCTGTGCGGACGATCTCAACGCACTATCATAATATCAAACAATTTTCACACAAACGGTCTCCACGTGCCCAAATTACAATCTTAACATCTCACCATCCCCAGCACGGACGATCTCCGCGTGCCCAACTTATACTCAATCTCATGTAAATGCATGTACTCAATATTATTTCAATAAAGGGGATGATGATGCACCTGAATCAGTCAAATATCGACATACTACATAACCACCTCGATTTTCATAACTATACGGGTGTAATAAAGAAAACACAATCACACAAGGATTTCAAGTCAATAATATATCACCTAATGCCCATATGCTTGGCATTCTCAAATTACAATTCACATTCTATAGTAGTAATCTTCCTTTTTATAACACCGGTACTCGTACCAATGCTCGTCACACCATTGATACGAGACCCCAATCTTTCGCCCTTACCCCTTTGTCTATTTAATTTTATTTAATCTTTAATTAGGAAAACGTCCTTCAACAAGTTTAAAAGTTTTAACATACCTTAAGAGCCGAACCTCGTGACACGAATCTTCAAGATAGTTCCTTCCCTTTTTGTAAAGTTTCGGAACGTTTCCAATCTACCAATTATGCAATATTCGTAAGTAAGCAATTTTTTGTAGACATTTAAATTATTATATGTCTATCATACACGCTAAAACTCACTCATATTTCCAACCAAACTCCAAATCTTGACTTTACCATCTCCAAATACCCTTGAATTCAATGTTAAATCATATAATATACACCTAATAATTAATTACTATCTCAATACATCAAAATTAGTATCTTAATTTGATAAATAAATAATATAAGAACTAATTGTCCACCCCTTGACAGAACACCAGATTGTGACTTTTTTTTTCTTAAACCTTTTCTACTGTTTGTCAAATTCCAAAATATGTTACCATATGCCAATCAATGGAATGTGATTGCCTGGTGATTGACATTTAATTCCCTTCCCCACCATTTATATTAGTAAAATAAAAAAAAAAAAAAAAAAAAGGAAAATTTTACTGCCTCAAATTGCAGAACCTGCAAATTTCCAATTTTATGCCCTGCAATAACTCTAAGTTCTATGTCATTACCACCTTGGCAATCATAAGCAATCATTAAGCAATCATTATACCAATCATTAGGAAATCATGATGCATCATTATCAATATTTTTTTCCTACTAAGAACCCCATCCGACAGTACTGCCAATATTGAATTTGCAATTCCTTAACAATGTTAATAATATAACAATATTTTTTTTAACGCTTAGCAATTAGGCATGCAACACTTAAATATAATTTGCATCAACTCACCTGCAAATTTTGATCGAGTCGCCCGCTTCTTGCCTATAAGTTCTTGAGCCCTTGTTTTGTTTCTTTTCTAAACAATAGTTTATTAACCGTGAAACCCCACTAAACTATTATCTATATTAGTTATTTAATAAAAGTTTCATCAACTAGGTACTTGTAGTTATCAATAGTTAAAATACCCCCTTTAAATTTTTCAGAAAGAGTCAAAATAGTCCTAATTCTCAAAACAACCTAGTGGGTCGTTACATTATTTTTCGATTTGATTTTTTTATTTCGATTTTTTAATGCCCTGATTAGTGGGATTTTTAAAATTTTAAATTTTACAATTTTTTGTTTGATTTTTCAACTAAATGGGCTAAAAATAGACAATAGTTGCATCAAAGAAGTGCATTGTAGTTACATCAGCTACACCTATATTAAATTAATTTTGTTCAGCCATCAATATAAAAAAAATTATTTCACAATAAATTCACACTAAGTAAAAATCAAAAAGAAATAAATGAAAGAACAAAGAAGAAAAACAAACCTGATTGGTGGTCGGCTGGCCCTCGATCGCTGGTCGTCGGTCGCCGGTTGCTGGCAACCTAAAGACTATGAACTCGCTGGCGGCTGGTCTTCTGAACTGGCTGCTCGTCTGAATTAGTTGAACCTGCTCGGAAGAATGAAGAATGAAAAAACCTGAAAGGAACTTGGTAGTATCGAACTAATATAAAACTTGGAAGAATAAATTGAGGAAGATGAATTATTTTCACTTTTCAGATTAGATTTTCTACTTTCTATAAGTAGTATAAAGTAAAAGTAGTAAGGTATGAAAGACAAAAAGTTAAAAAAGTTAAAGTAACTTTTACTTTTCACTTTTTAGGTTTTGTTTTCTTTTTAAAACAAATTATTTAACATAAATAATTAATATAATATAAATATATAATATAATATAATATTTTGATTTAAACCGAAATATCAAAAAACAAAAAAATACGTATCGAAAACCGAATCGAAATACCAAAAAATAAAAAAAATATAAACCTAAAACCAAAATAATGAAACTGAAATACCAAAAAAATTCAATTCAGTTCGGTGTTTCGGGTTTTCGGTGTTTATGCCCACCCCTAGAATGGGGTAATCTGGCATCCTTCGCTCTCTAATAGGCGTAGGGCGCCAGGCCCCAAACTTCAGAGGCCAAGTTGGTGCTCTTTTATGGCTCCACCTAAAGGCCCTACGGACAGAGATTGTTCTGTGGGGCTATGGGAGGTGTGGCGCCCCAAGGCACTACAGACAAGCATTCTTGACTCGTTTCCTCTGTTTTTATCTCTAAACCCTCTAAACTTTTATGGTTTTTTTTCAAACACTTAGGATCATTAGTTCTCTCAATATCAAATAGATTTTACTCTAAAAACAACACGGAGACACGAATCAAATCAACACTAGGCATCCAACAACTCAACCAACAAGAATTCAACAATGTTCTTCAAGAACTTCACTTTTTATCATTCAACCTACTGAAAATCACTGAATTTAAACATGTTGGTGTATGGGTGAACTAATCCAACACGAAAATATCTCACTTACCTTTTCAGGGATCCCCCCGATGAAATTCACAAGCTGACCTTCAACGATCTTGAACGTTGTTGCTTCCTCTTCTCCTTTCTCCTCTTTTCTTCTCTTCTTTTCTCTTCTCTCAAAACTTTAACTTATTTTTCTAAAAGTGTAAACTGAAGAAGATGAGTTCAGACCCCAATTTATTACCCAAAAATGGCATAAAATAATTGGATAAGGAAAAGACAAATATGTCTTCCCAAATACGAATTGGAATATCCTTAATCCAACAACCCAAATTTTGAAAGGCATAACTCCCTCATATGATATCGAAATCGCGCAAACTCGGCGGTGTTAAAAATATCTTTCCAAGGAATCTCCAACCACATGAAGAACTACCTTTAACTCATCCTGGCCTAGGAGTTATGGTCATTTCAAGTTGACTAAAAACCCACTTTTTCCTAACTTAAGAAAAATTTTAGATTTTAATTCTTTCTATAACTGATTATTTCAACTTTTAAGCTTCGTCATAACTATTTCAATTTGCGAGATGTCACAGAGTTTATGAAAGTGATTTTTTGGGGTTTATTATAATATAAAATAATTATTTATAAATAATATAAAATATACTTTCTTCTTAAATTAACTTAAAAATAATATTTACGAAAACACCCCTTGCCCACAAGGACTTGCCAAATAAAACTAAGGCAAAGTCCAAGGTCAAGGCCCTTGAATTGATGTGTCTTCTTTTAACCCTCCCATAAACTTATACTAAGACAAACTTTTGGACCTTTTTATATCTCTAATTTATACATAAACTTGTACGCTTCATACTTTAGACTCAAGTTTCACCTATAAATTTTTCAGGTATTAGAGGGAATGAGAGGAGCAGATTATCAAAATGGTCATTGCTAATGAGGTAAGTGCTTTGAAAGAGCACTATGACATAACATTTCATAAAACCTTGGAAAAGATTTAGGTACCTGAAAATGATGAAAAATGAAGAGACCTCAATAAGTTATGTCGTATTGGAATTGATATCAAAATGGTCATCAACGGTAAATTTTATATGAAGTAGCACTCAATACTATAAGTGGTTACGAGGATCTTAAATTCAAATATGTCATATAGTGTGGACAGATAAATTATTGGCACTATTCAAGTATATTTTAATTAACTTAGAAAAGTGATTTTTGATTTTATAGTTCATGGATCAAAATGTAATGTCAGTGTGGTACAAATGAATCATTGTATGAAACTATAATTGTAAAATATAAAGTGTGATTTGTGCCTCTGGACAGAAAGGGTTTTCGCTAAAATCCTGACATTATTAAATGGAGATATATTCTTCAGTAGTGGATGTAATGAGACTTGTTTCAGTCTGGTAGTTTAGGAAATATTTGAATATGCATAATGAATGATTACTATGTCTAACTAGACATGTAGGTTATATGAAAATCCTTGAAGAATTTAATAGACCCGAAAGCAATTTCATTGAGTACCCAATGATTTTGAGACTGCTTAACATGGATTAAGAGTTTTTCTCATAAAAATATGTTAAAATGTCATGTATTAGTGCAATTGGTGAACTTATAGATTGTTGGTTATGCAAATGCTAGAAGATTATTTAATATACATAACAAAAGTTATGTGAAAGGATTGTCATGTTATCATTTAAGTTATGACAAGAAATTAACAAAACAAGTGACTCATCACATAGTAAATGTGTGATTTTCTTTGAGAAGAAAATATGAGCTTCAATAAATTTGAAATTATCAATCTCTGAAACATAAATGATTTGATTATGTAGATGCAGAATATTTATTTGATTCGCATAAAGTTCAATCGCAAATAGACTGTTTGTTTACATATGAAGGCGCAACAATATCATGACGTTCATAAAATCAAACATTGATAACCACTTCTTCAAATCATGCAGAAATTATAATGATCTATGAAGTAAATCGTGACTGTGTTTGGTAGGAATTATGATCTATCATATCAAAAAAATGTGATTTTCCTTTGGCAAAGGATATTTCAGCCACCATATACGAGAATATACTGAAGGGAGGATACAATCAAAGGAGATCGGATAAAGTATATTTCACCAATAGTCTTTTTCACACATGATCTTCAACAAAATGGTGGATAGACGTTCAAAAGACTCGTTCAAGTGATAATCTTATAAACTTATTCACTATGAATTGTCAACATTAATATTTGGAAAGTCGTGATATAAGATTGAAACGCATCGTCTCTGAGATATCAAGTAAAGTTTTATCAAGGGAAGAAAAATATGTGTTGTACTCTTTTTCTTAACCATGGTTTTATCCCAATAAGGTTTTCCTAGTAAGGTTTTTAACGAGGCAACATTCAAAGCGTATTAAAAGATTTGTGTACTCTTTTTCCTTCACTATAATTTTTTCCCACGAGGTTTTATCCCAGTTAACGAGACACATTATCTATGGACATCCAAGGGAGTGGTGTTATAAAATACACTACACCAAGAAGTTACACCCATTATCTCCATTACTTTCTTCCATTATGAAGATAATCATAACCTCCAACTTTATAACCATTATTCTTGTAACTTTCCATTTTCATAACCTCCTCCATTATTTTCATGTTAATGTCATGTTTATGACTAACCTTTTGTATACCTCTATTAAATAGAGGCATAAAGGTTCATATTATACACACTTAAGATTTGATGAATAAATTTGAAGATTAAGAATTGCTCTCATATTTTGTCTCCTTATTTCTATTGCTTTCATCTTTTATATTGCTCGTCTTATTTTAGTTTAGTTTTATAATACTTTTAAATATATTTTTACTTATTTCATCTATAGCAGTTTTGATACTTTATAAGATATTCATATTAGTATTGTTTTTATGAAATACTTTTTCAGTCTCGTTCTTTTCTTCTATGGTTTTCTTAGAGTTTTTAAGTCATTGTCTTCTTCATCCTCTATTCTATTCCCCACAATTCCTCAATTTCTACATCGTTATTGTTGAGGATATAATTAAATAATAAAAATGTATGTTTTCTCTAACAACTTAAATTTTTTAGATGGATGGTCACAAACTTCAATTTGATAACCAAGCAAACAAAGGTTCTGGACCACCCAAATTACAAAGAATTTTCACGTGTTTGGCACATAAAATAGAATCAAGCTTCGAGAAGCCATATTGAGGATGTTCGAAATAAATCAAAACAGAGATTTGTAGAGGCCTAATCTAGCTCTAAAAGGGTTGTTATTATAGTCATGATGATTTTGACCAAGAACCTCATGTAATTAAGTAAAATAATCTGAAAAATAAGGTTGTTCTAGAAAGCAAAAAGAAGATTAATTTTTAATTTTACATTTACAGTATCATTTTTAATACACAAAAATATATAATAGTGGATGTCAGATATTTTTGAGGTCTGATGAGTTGAGTTTTAAGTTATTTGTTGAATTAAGAAGTTGAAATTTAGTTTTTATTTATGTGCATGATTGTAAATTTTGGAAACATACCAATGTTTTTTATTTACTTGTCATTTTACAAAATTTATGCATAAGTTATCATATTTTGTCTATTATACCCTTGATAGAGTAGTGAATTAATCTTGAAAATGTATTCATCATTTATTATAAAGTCGACTTAAGAAAATAATAAATAAATATGAAAGGATAAAGTTACATTATTTCTTAATGTGAGTTCAAAATAAAAAGGTAACATATAAAATGAGTCGAAAGAAGAAAACAACTTGAACAATGAGTTGAAACACATTCCAAATAATGTGTTTATTGTTGAATTAAATGAAAACATGCTGATTTTTTTATCTTAGAGAAATCCCTCCAATTACTAGTTTAAATTATTTGAGTGAAAATGATGATAACGGCTTTGACTATATTGTTTGTCATTAGTGAGTTTGTTTTCTTATAAAAAAAAAAATATGAACAACAAATCAGTAAGAACAGTTTTTATATTGTTGAGAATGGACAATTCAATTTATATCCTTGGTCTTGGAGATTAGATGTTTACCATAATAAGTTGCTTGAAAATATTTAAGTTACCTAATATATATTAGGGAAACTTTCATATGTAGCCACTTAAAAATAATTAATTACTCTAAATAGCTATAATTTGATAAATTACAATTTGTAACTACATGTTATATGGAGGAGAGAGGCGAGCGAGACTAGGAGAAAGAGGAGAGAGGCGAGAGAAAGGGAAAAGAGTGGAAGAAAGGTGAATTGTATATGTATATTGGTTAGATAATTGTATAT